TTCACTTGGATGGGTTGATCTCGGCATGCGTGAGAGCACGCACGTTGGCCCGCGTGCCTTGGCATTCCGTCCGTCACGACACTCGAAACAAATGCCACACACAGAAAAGACAATCAAATTATCTTGGGAGAACGTGCTGTACATCTCATGTTGTTTGGTCAAGCATTTTGTAGGTGGGTGTCGCTTGCTGCCAGCTGTGATGGGTTGTCTGGCTTCCCGTCCACCGCTGCGAACTTGTGCAAGTGCCTGCAGCGCTGTGGTGAAGGGTACAGCCGCAGCTGACATAAGATATCGCCCCCCCTGGGCCGATTGCTACTGGTCTATGACTCCACAGCAGAAAGACTGGTGGTGCCGAAAATGGCGGCGTTGGTACCGTCTATTCGAGAGCTTCCGAGCATGTTCCGTTGGTTTTTTCCATGTGCGTCCTCTTCTTCGCGGAGCAATCGAGATTTGAAAATCTGTCTATAGGGGTTGTGATATCTTCTGTCACCTAAGGTACTTGTCCCTGTTTATACCAGTGATGTTTCAGTCGTTTGGGCGCACCGTTGTTGGTCTGAGCCTCAAGAGGTCCGCGTACTGTCCCCATGTAACACAGACCGATGGAAGGAGGCCAGCAACGGTCTCAACGGGCACGCGCATCGAACAATGCTCGACCTAATCTAAACAAGAACACTCGTGACGTGTACGCACGTTGCCCCATCGCTTCCTAGCGCTGTCCCTGTCTGTCTGTCTGTCTGTCTGTCTGTCTGTCTGTTTGTCTGTCTGCCTGTCTGTCCGTTTATGTTTCTGTCTGCCTGTCGACCTGTTCGATTGTATTTGTGTGTTTGTCTTCCTTAAGTCTCTCTCTCTCTCTCTCTCTCTCTCTCTCTCTCTCTCTCTCTCTCTCTCTGTGTGTGTCGGTGTGTCTCCGGTTTCTCAAATCTACTCCCTCGCCTCCCCCACCCACCCCGCACCCCGGTGTACCGCGGAACCGCCCAACAGGACCCAGAGCGAGTGAGAGAGATCACATACGGCATGATTCGTAAGGTCACGCGAACGCCTGTCACGGTCAAATGCCGAATAGGCGTGGACGACAAGGACTCGTGAGTTCCCCGAACGAGCCCCTGTCGTATCTACTGCTGTTGCTGTTGGTGAAATTGACTGTTGAAAGAGAATCTGTCTTACTTTGTCAGACCCTGCAGCCATGGCTTATGGGGGCACCGCCGGATGAAGCGTTCCTGGATACCTGGTGCTGGACAGGGAGGGTAGCAAGATGTAACCTAACCTACACGATGTGCTGCCGTTGGAGAGTAGTTTTCGATGGTTCGTTTTTATTCGCGCCTTCGCAGTGTAGCTTGTTCCAAACTACACCCCACGATAGAAACGGGCGGCATCATCACCTGTTGAAGGAAGCCTCTTCCTGGGCGTATTCGTTGTTCCATGATTTTTTCTCACTTACGCACGCGCAGGAGGCATGCTCGCATGGCGTTCTGCCCTACATGGCGTAGCCAGGAACTCGCCCATGCCCACAGCCGGCAGAAGTATGCGTTAGCAGAATCCGGACACTGGCATACACGTAGTTTACGTGCAATACTCTCGTTATCATCCCGCTGTAAAACGATGGAAGTTGAATGCACCTTCTTGAAAGGCCTTTGCGTACATTCTCTCCATGACCCCCCCCCCCCCCCCCCCCCCCCCCCCCCCCCCCACCCCCCCCCCCCNCCCCCCCCCTCGGTGTTTGCCATCGGGGTTGGGTTGTCGTCGCTTGGCAACGACATTTTAAAACAAGCCACCCCGCTCGGTGTTTGCCATCGGGATTGGGTTTTCGTCGCTTGGCAACGACGGTGTGAAACAAGCCAATTCACTTCATGAAGTCGGCAACCAGGTTACCATTTTTTTTTATTACCTCTGTTTTTTTTTGGCGGTAACCACAATGGTGGTCGAGTAGATCGTGTTGTGCGGGGTGGAGAACCCTTACTCCGCGCAAGGCGGATGATCGCACCACGTTGTGTTCAATTGGTCAAGCATCCTCGAGGCAGTTACACAGTGCTTACAACTGTCTCAGGGAGTGAAAGGACCAGAAAATAAATTAAGTCATACGCAGCTGTCATCCGNCCCCCCCCTCCGCACGTGTCCTCTCGGCCGCTTCCTAGGTACGACGAGCTGACGACGTTCGTGCGAGCAGTGAAAGCGGCGGGCGTCGACCACGTCGTCGTACACGCGCGAAAGTGCCTGCTGAAGGGACTGTCGACCTCGGCCAACCGCACCATCCCGCCCCTTCGGTACGACGTCGTGCACCGGCTGGCACAAGAGTTTCCCGAGTTGGAGATCGTCCTGAACGGCGGCATTGACTCCCTTGGGGCCGTCAACGAACACATCGCCGGCACGGGGGAGTGGGGGGGGTACGGAGGAGGCGTCGCGGGGGTCATGGTGGGGCGCGCGGCGTACTTCGACCCCTGGACGTTTCGGCATACGGACAGCGCCGTTTTTGGATCATCAGACCCAGGTGCGCATGGTGTTTTTTCCCGATGTTAGGTACTTCTGAGAGTATTTTATAACGCCAGTAGTACCGATAGAATGAGCGACAATTTCGGGGCTGGGTATGACCCAACCGCCCGCAGCTTTAGCGGGGCACACTTGGGGGGCTCGTTAGACCCTGCCAGGGGTCCTACCTTGCCTGCGTTGTGACCCTTAAGCGGGACTAAAACCGTTTGTGTGTGTGGTAGCGGCGTAACATTACCGGCCTTTCTGCCCGTCGTGTGCGTCGCTGCAGGGTTCACGAGGCGGGAGATAATGGAACGCTGCGTGGACAGGTTCACGGAGATGATGCAGGAAGGCCGGCGGGAGGGGCCGGAGTGCAACCGAACCCGCCATCTCTGCCTCGGTACCGTGACGAAGCCTCTAGGCTACCTCTCTTCCGGCGCGAGGGTGAGAGCGAGAGTGCATACGATCAAACACGCCGCCTTTTTTTTTTTTGATGTGTCGGGGGTAAAAATGGCACGCTGCCCTGTGTGTATGTTGTGGGTACGCAGTCAGAGTACAAGATAGAATCGCGCATGGCCAGTTGTGCGTACCTCAATAGAGGGCACGTTATGTCCACGAAATTCGACGGTTGGTTGCGTTGCGCACGTACGTTTGGTAGCCTTTGCCCCGCAAAACTCGTTTCTTCAAATAAGTTTTATTGTGAAGGCGGCAGCACAACAATAACAACGACATCCCCTTCCGTTTGCCGGTCTCATCGCTAGAGTCGAGGTGAAAACCCCGAGTCGGCGTTTTCGTGGGGTTGGTGACGTGTTATCGCGCTCGGGGTGGTGTGAAACAACCCTAGACAAGTGCATGCCATGAGCACGAAACGAGGCGCCATGGTTCGGTATGGGTTGTTCGTCACACGTCCATGGTTACATGGCACACGGTGCGGCAGTCACAGCCAGCGTAAGAGACAAGACCCCTGGCACCTTTCAACGCGAATCTACGCCACGGAGAAACTGGTGACCACTCCATTTTTTCCCCAATTGACAGCCGCGCGCACGCACGCTCAAGTATATTCCACGGCCTCAATACCCTGTTTCCTCTTCCGAGCTGATCTATTTCTATTCCTCGCTGTTCCTCTGCACCTCCTTCCTGTTCGTGCGTGCGACCCAAACACCGCAGGGCAGCAGAACGTTTCGGCAGGAGTTGAGCCACGCCGTGCAGGCTCAGTCGAAGATCGACCCTGACACGGACGACTTCCGAGAAGCAGTGGATCGGGCCATGGCGCTCCTCCCCGAGGGGGTGCTTGACGAGCCCGTGGGGGACACGCCAGAGTGCGCCCTTGGCTCTCACGTTCGCGACGATTAGTTAGTTCTTTGATGAGGAAAGTGTAGTTGGTTGAGGGTGTACCAGCCCCCTGCAAAACCAGCGATGATGATGTTTTGGTGGTTAGGACGTGAAGGTTTCCGATCTATGTGTGCATGCTATACTCTCTTTCCAGGTGCTTCGCCTTCATTCTGATCCGATGTATGCGTGCCATACTCTTTGCCCAGTCCTGTCGTCTTTGAGGATATAGAATCGCACAATCCCAACGGTTCGATGCGACTACTGTACATTGTCCAGGTATGCCAGAACATGCCGCAGCTGAGTGTGCGGTATCTATGCATAGTCTATGCATTGGACATTTGAGGTCTTGGGTCCAGCCAGCTACTGCTGTACATAGTGTTTTCAGGTTTTCACTCTGGCGAAAGACCCGATTGCTCTTTTCTCTGATTGGTCGTTTTCGGAAGGCTTGTTTTTCCGCACCACCCAATGGTAACACCGGTCGCCCCGGTGGTCTAGTTGATAACCTCGGCTTGTTTTTCCGCGCCACCCAATGGCAGCACCGGTCGCCCCGGTGGTCTAGTTGATAACCTCGAAACCTTCTAACGGCCGGGTCAGGGGTTCGAACCCCGGCGTAAGTGAGCGTTTCTTGCAAAGTGAGCTTCCGCTCCTGGCCTAGTGGATAGCGCTAGTTCGTGTGTACACAGACGGAAGAGAGTGCTGAACTATTCTCGCATTAAAACTCGAAGGCAAAGTACCGCAGGAGGGGAGGGTAGGGAGGGGCTGTTCTGTGTGCCCACGGGTTGGAGTAAACGGCACTTCTTATGCTGTGAGCGCTGATGTGAAGTGAAGACAAAGACAAAAAAAAAAATGGCGCGATAAAATTATTTTCACGCACACGAAAGTGAACGGAACCTTAACCGTGCTACGTATGGTCCCCGCTTTGGTCGGTTGGCCAAACAGACGCATCGTCAAGTGGTTTGTCGCTGTGGTTGTTTACGTACGTACTTCACACAACAGAGTTGCGTGGATGCGACAAGTGTGTCACAAAAAGCGACTCGTGTTGTCAATTCGCCAAGTTGCCGCTGTTTCATTGTATCTGTTTTTTGTTAGAAATGCTGTGGGATCGGAATGGTTGATTGATTGGCATATCCGACGCGTAGGGACATGCTTTGCGGACCAGCCATCTCCCAAGGAAGGAATAAATACTTTCGAAAACTATTTCATCCATTGTCGATGTAACCACACCCATACAATACCAACAAGCTCCTTTCGATATATTTGGAAAAGACTGAACGTCGACCCGCATTCCACGCAATACAGGGCAAAAAATGGCGAAGCTCTGGCTCACCCAATGCGCTTGAATTTTTTTCAACACATTGTACGTTTGGCCTACCGTGCCCAAGAAAAACGCAGTCCACGCTCTAGGTACTCCGCCCGAAGAAAGAGCACGCCACGGAAGCTGGTACCACCTAAACGCTGCCATGCTCTTAGGCAGGCGTGTGACCGTGAGCGCCACCGGTACACAGGACGACCGCATCTACTTGGTAAACAATCGACCATCCCAACACGACGATCTCACTCTTTGTTAGGTTTGGCTTTCTTGGGAGATATGATAGCCTCCGCCCCCACCCCTGCCACCGGCGGCGGCGCCGCCGCCGCCGGCTTCGGCGCCGGCCTTCCCTTTCGCTTCACGACCATCACGTTCGCCGCCGCACCTCCCCCAGCCCCAGCCGGGGAGAAACCCGCAGCAGAGGCACCGCCAAACCCTGCCGTTGTCGTCGCTCCCGACTGCAGTGCTCTGAAGCCGACCGTCGTCACCTCTCCTGCAGCGGGAGTGGCAGCAACCCCGCCGATCGAGGAAGAACCCCCCCCCCCGCCGCCGCCGCCGCCGGAAAATGCAGATGCCGGTGATGGGTTCCCGAACCCGACCGTGGTGGTACCCGTCCCGCGCTTGTACTCCGCGAGCGCCTCCATGTCCTTGCCGCTCACCATGGTGTCGATCGTCTCCCGGATGGCGTCGCGCACGTCCTCGAGCTCCTCTATTGCGGAAGCGGCGGTCGGTGGCGGCGACGCAACCCCCTGTGCGCCACCCTTCCCCTTCCCCTTGCCGTTGGGACTCCCGCTCCCGTTCGACGTGTTGGGTGCGTCACTGTTCTCCTTGCCGGGAGAAGCGGCATCGGGGGAAGGGCCAGCTGCGGCGGCGGTCACCTCAGGTGTTTCTTTCAAGGACGCCAGCATGGCGTCGAAAACCCCCATCGCCAGCCGGTACTGCTCGAGCGACCGTTCGACAAGCGCGTCCTGTTTTTGTTGTTTTTTTCGTTCCCGTGTTGTATGTAGGTCGTGCGAGGAAAGCAGAGAGGCGCGGATTAAGAGAGATCAGAGAAGGGATTGGATGTCGCTCAGAGACATGGGGTGGGTATTATCTTGTCTTCGAGTTTCGTCTACGTATGCGGCGCACAACGTTGTTGAAGGCGCCCACAGTATTGTCAGCCAGCGGGTATCGTGCACCGTTTCACGAAAACAGACGTAAGCTCCGAGAGGGACACAAAACAGGCAGCATTGGTGCACCACCAGGCCACCTCAACACCCGGCCGAGCGAGTCCGTCTCATTCGTTCAGGACACCCAAAGACATCCCGCACAACAGGATAACGTACGCAGCAGACTTCCATCCATGTCAACGTCCCGCCCAAAAACAACATTCCGCAGCGGACATCCATCCGTATCAACATCCCGCAAAACGAACAAAACTATCCGTAGTAGACGTCCTATCAATATCAACATCCCGCACAACAAAAATAACGTCAGCAGCAGACTTCTCCATTCATATCAACGACATCCCCCACAACGAAGATAGAATCCGCAGGAGAACATGTACCCATATCACGCATACCGTTTCGGCGCCTTCAAGAGTCGACGCGTAGAAAAGGGCCTGCGCCCGCCTGACGTGCGCGTCGGCCACACCGCGGGAGTGTCGGCAGGGGAGAGCCAAGCGGTGGTCGAGGCACTTCTCGAATTCGTCGGCGGCCTCATTGTACATGCCGTTCACCATGTTCAGGTCGCCTAGTCGGAGGTGAACCTTCCACAAAAACGCGCGGAGAAGCAAAGGATGGTGCTGTGCGGTGAGGCCCCAAGCATACCGTAAAATTGCGTGTGATGGCACCCATCGGTGATTTCGCACCCATCGGTGTTAAGGGACCGGGGTCCGCAAAAATATCAAGAACGGCATGATTTAATTGTATTTCCGCACCGGGATCGGTGTTATCGCACCGGTGCGATATCAACGATATAAATCTGCCAAGGACGAATTTTGTGTGCTTCCGCACGGTACTGGTACCCTCTGGGCCACGTGTCGAACAGTATGTAACGCGGTTGGCAGGTACCAATTGGGGCGCCATTTCATTGATGTATATCGTGCCGTCGTGGTTTGCGCAGCAAATGATCTTTTTGTTTTTTCTACAGTAATTCGTACATCGAACGCACTCACTCACTCAACCAAGCACACAGCAGTACACATCCCGAACCTCCAACCAACCGAACAAGAAGAAGGAGTTCGTGAATGATACTACAATTGTACCGCTACCATGCCCCCTGAGGCAGACAAAGACAGAGGGAAGCACCAGCCAACAAAAGAGGGGCTTTAGACCAACAAAGAGGCTGGAAGAAAAACGATACTCCACCGTATTTATACCTTCCCCAACAGGGAACCACAGCGTCTGTTCCCTTTGGCGCAACCCACCCCAAACTCGGATTCGACCTCATCGCTATCATGACTCCGGGCTGGTTGCACGGTACCGTCTACGCAAGCTCCTACTGCAAGAGTTCCAGCACGCAAGATGAAGACATCTACGCCTGTTCGTTTCTTGAGTATCGCACCTATCGGTGTCATCGCACCGTGGTGCGCTCACTCAGCACCGCATCATGACCACTGTGATTTCTTCCACATCGCACTCATCCGTGTCATCGCACCGGGGGCGCGTTCGAAATCTAGAACGAAATGATTTAATTGCATTTCCGCACCGGTATTGGTGTTATGGCACCGGGGGGGGGGG